TTTTTTTTCGTTTTCGGGCGAAAAATTAAGTTTCTCCAATCTTCTCAAAACTCTGGATTCAGATAGAGGGCCTCGAGACTTTGACCTGATTGCAAAAATGGAGGCTCTAGACCCTTCTAGAGCTGAGATATCAAAATTCAAAATTTCGACCCGAAAAAAAACCCCTAACCCTAACCCTTGCGTTTTTTTTTTTTGGGCAAAAAATTAAGTATCCCTAATCTTCTCAAAACTCTGGATTCTGATAGAGGGTCGTGAGCCTTAGACCTGAGTGCAAAAAAGGAGGCTCTAGACCCTTCCAGAGCTGAGATATCGAAACTCAAAATTTCGACCCGAAAAAAAAAAACGACAGTGGTACCCCTTTTGTTTTTTTTTTTCGGACGAAAAATTAAGTTTCTCCAATCTTCTCAAAACTCTGGATTCTGATAGAGGGCCATGAGACTTAAACCTGAGTGCAAAAATGGAGGCTCTTGACCCTTCCCGAGCTGAGATATCGAAAATCAAAATTTCGACCAGAAAAAAAAACGACAGTGTTACCCCTTACGTTTTTTTTTTTTTTGGGCGAAAAATTAAGTATCCCCAATCTTCTCAAAACTCTGGATTCTGATAGAGGGCCATGAGACTTAAACCTGAGTGCAAAAATGGAGGCTCTAGACCCTTCCAGAGCTGAGATTTCGAAATTCAAAGTTTCGACCAGAAAAAAAAAACGACAGTGTTACCCCTTACGGTTTTTTTGGGGGTGAAAAATTAAGTATCCCCAATCTTCTCAAAACTCTGGATTCTGATAGAGGGGCATGAGACATAGACCTGAGTGCAACAATGGAGGCTCTAGACCCTTCCAGAGCTGAGATATCGAAAATCAAAATTTCGACCCGTAAAAAAAACGACAGTGTTACCCCTTACGTTTTTTTTTTGGGCGAAAAATTAAGTATCCCTAATCTTCTCAAAACTCTGGATTCTGATAGAGGGCCATGAGACTTAGACCTGAGTGCAACAATGGAGGCTCTAGACCCTTCCAGAGCTGAGATATCGAAATTCAAAATTTCGACCAGAAAAAAACGACAGTGTTACCCCTTACGTTTTTTTTGGGGCGAAAAATTAAGTATCCCTAATCTTCTCAAAACTCTGGATTCTGATAGAGGGCCATGAGACTTAGACCTGAGTGCAACAATGGAGGCTCTAGACCCTTCCAGAGCTGAGATATCGAAATTCAAAATTTCGACCCGAAAAAAAAAAACGACAGTGTTACCCCTTTCGTTTTTTTTCGTTTTCGGGCGAAAAATTAAGTTTCTCCAATTTCTCAAAACTCTGGATTCTGATAGAGGGCCACGAGACTTTGACCTGAGTGCAAAAATGGAGGCTCTAGACCCTTCCAGAGCTGAGATATCGAAATTCAAAATTTCGACCCGAAAAAAAAACGACAGTGTTACCCCTTTCGTTTTTTTTTTCGTTTTCGGGCGAAAAATTAAGTTTCTCCAATCTTCTCAAAACTCTGGATTATGATAGAGGGCTGTGAGACTTTGACCTGAGTGCAAAAATGGAGGCTCTAGACCCTTCCAGAGCTGAGATATCGAAATTCAAAATTTCGACCCGAAAAAAAAAACGACAGTGTTACCCCTTTCGGTTTTTTCCGTTTTTGGGCGAAAATTTAAGTTTCTCCAATCTTCTCAAAACTCTGGATTATGATAGAGGGCCACGAGACTTTGACCTGAGTGCAAAAATGGAGGCTCTAGACCCTTCCAGAGCTGAGATATCGAAATTCAAAATTTCGACCCGAAAAAAAAACGACAGTGTTACCCCTTTCGTTTTTTTTTCGTTTTCGGGCGAAAAATTAAGTTTCTCCAATCTTCTCAAAACTCTGGATTCTGATAGAGGCACTTGCGATTCTAGGGGGTGGCCTGGGGTGGCCAGGGCCACCCCTGAAAGCTCATTGGCCACCCCTGTGGCCACCCCAGATCTGATCTAGTTGGTCAAGTTCGTCAACACAAGAAACAAGAGAAATGCTGTCAATCAATGGTGACAGCTGATCAACCGATTTAGGTCCAGTTTTACCTTTTTTAATAACACAGTAATAGTCATACTGAGGCTCTTGAGAGCTGATTTCTGCTCAGCGGACGTTTGGCCATGCAGGTCAGGTTACTAATGAGATGCGCGCGCTGGCTGCTGCTCCGTGAAACAGGTGGACAGTCTTACAACAGCAACAAATACAACGATAAAAACGCGGGAATCTGTAGATTGAGAGGTATGGTAATTTAATGTTTAGTTATATCGTAGTTCCCTGTGAATGTCTAGGAAAACTGAAAAAGTCGAACTACACTGTACTAGCTAGATTAGCATCCTGAGAGAGTGCAGACGGTAAAGAGGACGCGTGCAGCTGGGTCACACCTTATTTCCACTCATACATCGCCATGAAATATAAAACGCTATTTTCTGGAAGACAGATGGTGGTTTTTGCAGATGTGTGTGTTCAATTATAGCTAATGTTATATTTTTCGCCAACCAGTGTGTTAAATATAGTGTGACAGTAGATTTAAGTTAAAACACAAAAAAAAAAACAAGCTGTGACTTATTTATTTGCTCTGTGGTTTAAGGGGAGTTTAAAAAGGACTTTTTGTTTGTATCAATTAGCTTATCTTCACAGTCCACATATATTTTTAGAAGTTTAAATAGGCAGAGTGAATTGCATTAAAATGGCACAAATGTCATAAGTTAAATTATGAAGAAGCATCTTGACTATTTATGATTTTGAGTCTTAACTGTTTGATTTTAAAAACGTATTAATGTATGCTGAATCAAAGCCAACGTTTCAATTTATACTTTCATCAAGGCCTTGGACATGAATACTGTCTGGGTTGAAAAACACTTTTTGCACATTTTCATACATCACAAGGCATCCTAATGAAATTATTCAGTCATCAGGCCACTCTCTGTGTTACCTGTGTTTGCTTTACTTATTTAAGTCCCCTCTTGTGGTTAAAAAAAAAACACTCCTGGCAAAGAACAAAATAAGAAATTCAAATTCCAGTATCTCTAACAAATTATATCTAAGCTAAATAATAACATAAACTAAACATGTAAAGAACAACAAATATTTTGTTTTTTTCCTCACAAACTTAGTTTTTTTTTTTTTGCTTTTACAGATACACCTTTTAATAAGGTCCTATAAGCATGTTGGTTTGTCCTGTTGGATTTCTGTGTTTTCATGTAACCACAAGATGGTGCCTCAATTAGTAAAGCAAACTATACAGGTGACACAGATGATGAGCTGACGATACATGTTATTGTATAGGATGAGTTAAGAGCAGTTTAATTTTGCTAATCTAATCTAGTCAAGTCAAGTCACATTTATTTATATAGCGCTTTTCACAATACAGATTGTATCAAAGCAGGTTCACAGTGATGACATGAAAGTAGTACACATAACATCAATAATATTGCTAAACACTAAATAACCACTAAATAACCCCAACTGAGCAAGCCAAAAGCAAGGCGACAGTGGCAAGGAACCAAAACTCCATCAGATTGGATGGAGAAAAAACCTTGGGAGAACCCAGGCTCAGTTGGGGGCCAGTTCTCCTCTGGCTTACATTCATATTGTTTATATATAAATATTGAATATAAATATTGTTTATGTATAAAACGGCGCCATAACATATCGCAGGCGTTTGAGTCGTCTCTTCACAGGCGTTGGGGCATCCGAAATCCCAGTGAGAGGCTGGAGACAAAACTGGACCTGACGAACGCCATTTTTCTCGGGACAAGCGTCCCGAGATAACAGCAGAAAGGCAGATGGGAAATAATTAGCATAGCTGATGTTCATAATGATTTCCATTATACGGGAGTCGGTGTTAGAAACCACTATCTCACAAACTCTCCGTAACGTGAACTCTCCGCAACCCAACCATACGCGCTGACCCGTTTGACTAAGGCTGTCGAGCCCCACTGTCGCGGAAATGCGTTTCAGTGGCAAACCGTTCCGGTATGGCATAACAGGACTAAAAGGTAAGCATTATGTGAATGCTTGACTAAAGAGATGCGTCTTTAATCTAGTTTTAAACTGTGTCAGCGAGTCAGAGCCTCGGACCGTATCGGGAAGGCTATTCCAGAGTTTTGGAGCTACGGATCTTAATAGGTAACCAGTGTAGAGATGATAAAATCGGTGTTATATGATCATATTTTCTTGACCTAGTAAGAACTCTAGCAGCTGCATTTTGTACTAGCTGTAGCTTGTTTATTGAGGATGCAGGACAACCGGCTAATAAAGCATTACAGTAATCTAGTCTCGAGGTCATGAATGCGTGAACTAATTTTCTGCATCAGAAAAATTAGTTTCTGATGCAGAAACTAATCTAACTTGTTATGAAACAGGAAATCATGGGAGAGAGAGAGGATGTGACATGTAGCAAAGGACCGGGATTTGATCCATGGTCGGCTGCGTACATATACGCATTTAACTTCGCTATGCCATGGCCACCCCACTCTAGCTTTGTGTCCCATCTTGGCCACCCCCCAAAAAATGTCCTGGATACGCCACTGTGCAGATGCATAATGTAACCAATGTTGAATAAATACATTTTCATCAGGTTTGATACTGATAATGAATTAATCACTCAAACAAACCCCTTTATAATAAAGGCTTTATCTAAACCTCTCTGCCGGATTTGCGCGTCCTCCATGTCTATAGTTGTTTAACACTTCTCACTAAAGTTCTAAACGAATCCTTGTCCAACGCGCGATGGGTTATTATCACTATGGATCTAAAATTTCTTCCAACGGCTCTGCTCAGGTTAGTTCAGACTGGTGACGCGGGACAGTTGGTTGATTTTCGTTCTCCATTTCCTGAAGTTATGCAGTTTGCAGTGCCCTTCGAACTGAACATGTTCGTTCCCTTCGGATTGGACTGTCACTTAAGATGGCGAAAAGTCCTCTTCGCAGTCCATTTACGGTCGAATGGAACGTAGCCTATTTGAAGTGAGTCAGTTTGAAGGTAACTTAAATCATTTAGCATTCAAAAACACTGATTCGTTCGGGAACCATGTCAATAGTCTAGTTTGAATTCTTTGAGTCACTTACCAATAGGAGTTTGGCTATAGTTCCGAAGAATTCGACACAGAGATTTAAAAAGTTTTAAAATAAATTAATTCTAATTTAATAAATAATTAAATAATAAAAATAAATAAAAATAAATTAAAAGGGTCCGCCTGGCCCAGAATACTTTTTGATTTTTTCATGAGTGAGAGAAACAGACTGTGCTTTGCAAACCAATTAAAACCAGACAGTTTTCGGGTCACGTTTGTACTGTAAGATTTGTGCTACAAACTTTGACATTTACTTTAAACTAACATATCACTCCACTTATGTCAGCATTTTTCCTGCTATTTTAAGTAAGTGCTGCCTTGTCGAAAAATGCAACCGTAGCACGAATCGATCACAGAGAATGTCGATTAATATTAGGCTAAATGAAATACAAATATAATACAATTCTAAGTTATGAGTAGCTACTATACTTTAGACTGTTTTTTTTATTTTTAAAACGGTGTGAAAAGTAAAAATCATCATCAAATATTCATCTTTGACTTGTGAAAGGACACCTTTCACTGAAACTTTCAGTTATTCTTGTTCAGCTGGCTGACCGTACAAATATTCATATGGTAGTTAGCCTTTTTTAAAGGGAAATTACAACAAAGGCTAACATAGGAACGTTTTTTTTTTAACAAAAGGTAAATTGAGTCTGCACATGCGCATAACCAGTAAGTAGCAAATCTCGATGGGTAGCATGAATCGTCATGTTTATCAAGTCACCATAGGCTTGTACAAAAGCACCAAGTTTAGACTAATTAATCAGCACATATGAATTGTGATTGCTTTTATTATCCGTACGGTTATATTAGTATATTATTTAAACAAAAGCATGCTTCTGCACCACTTGCTGCACACATTCATTAAAGGGTTAAATCATATTTTCAGGGGCTATGCACTGCAGAATCTTTCATATTTAAAACTCAGTTTGTCATAACTACTGTAATGTAGGCTATTACTCATATTTAATTAGGAAATTGCTTTCATATTAATTGCTTTTTTAGAACAGATGAATTCAAGACAGTACAAAACATTTCCATTTCAAATTGTGCACAACAATCACCAAAAAAATGAACAAAAAATAAAATGAACAAATAAATTAATAAACACTCTTATGTATGTTATCAATAAACAACACCTAGTAAAAAAAGCTAATAGTGCCTGCAGAATGGCATAACCCTTTTATCTTAATTGCAGCCTATAAAAATTGCATGAGCTTGTATTTATAAACTGTGTATAGTGGTCTTGAGAAAATAATAGTTTTGAAAAGAAAACAGCATGTCTTTCCACAACACAGGAATCATACCAACCTCTGTATGTTTTATACTTTTAAAGCATAAGTGAAGGAAGTATCAGAGTGTTAAATATAACAATCATAGGCTACTAATCTGATAATAAATCCTCCTGGTTTTCTGAATAGAAATGTGATTTTCCACATTGTTGATGCTCTATTACGTGGTGTCTTTGGGCCTTATTATCTATGAAGTTTGAGCCCTTCCATCGGTATTGATAGATACATCCAGCAGGTCTCAGGGGATTCTGTTCAAAGACTGAAGTGTTTGGGATAAATAATGAGGACATCTAGAACATTCAATATATTCTCCCATAAGAAACACTTCTAATTATGGATATGGTTAAGCTGAGGGAAAAGTCAGTCAACATAAATTAATCAATAAAAGGAATTTGAGGCCTCAGAGAACCAAGAGCATATTATGAAAAGAAATCCTTTGCAGTGATTTTAGCAAAAGACAAGGCTGGAACCGTAATTAGTTTCAGAATTCACAAATAGCTGTTTCCTGTGTATTCACACATACAGTAAGCAAGCACTTTTGAATTAATACCCATCTGGGCTAATACCCATCAGAGGTGTCTCAGTCATTCTTTTTGTTAGTCCTTGGTGACTTGGTAGCGTGCCAATCCCAGTCAGATGATACCATTGGTTGTTAATGTAGCCTAAATAAAAGGATGGTGTGTGATTAGTAAAGCACAGAGATGAGATTATGATGAACTCTAACTTGCTAAGGAGGGTTGATTGATAAGCAACACTCAGTGATTAAATCTCATTTCCTTAATGTCTAAGGATGAACTGTGCTGGCTCCTCTCTGACCATTTAGTGCTACTCATTGTCTCAGAGAGGGTTATGGATTGTGTTTAGTTTTCCTCTCAGAGTCATTACAAATCACACTTAATCCCTGCTCCGCTCCGTCTGCAGGTGTTTAAACAGCCACGCAGACCGAAAAAGCTGTGTCGGACGTCTCCTGCACCATGATAACGGCTACCGTATGAAACTGATGCCCTTCCTCAAATTAACTCTGAAGGATGTCTCACATATAGGCAGATGCAGCCCATAAGCAAACATAATCTAAAAGGACATTGTCTGCTTCAGAACAAAATGATTATCTGTCTTCTGAAATAACTTACAGTAGGCTGGCTGGAGTGAGTGATGAAAGCATGACCAAATTTGAAAAGGTTACAGTATTGACTCCAAAGTTTGATGCAGGAAAGGAAAACTCTCGACTTTGTTTGCTTACTCCTTGAACTATGGATGTAGTACATCTCAGCAAATTGTTCCTCTATAGAGGAAATGATCTTTCATTAGGCTGGAGTTCATCACGCGTGCAAGTGTAGTTTGCGTCCATAGCATAGGTCCCTGGTCCTGTCACGTCGCCCAGATTTACTGATTCCGTCATTGGCGAAGCTTTGGGTTCGATAGCACTAAAAGGCTCATCCAGACTAATGGGGTTCCTATGTGACGCAAACACTGTCTCTTAGTGGAAATGGTTTATTAGGCCTTAACCAATAAAGAAGAGGAGTCAGATGATGCCTCAAGACAAAGACTTCTGTAATTGGGAGTGAGATATAGACTTGTTATGGACGTAACCTCTTTGATTCGGACAAAGGGTCACATCATCACGGAAACCCAAATAAGGACAAGAGCAATGTGGCAATTGATCACACGCATTATTACAGGATACACAGTTAAAGGGTATTCGAGTTTGTTTTCTGCCATCAACATTTGTCTGGCACGTAATTTGAAATGGATTTGCGAAAATGTCACACATAATCCATTTGTCAACCCCCCCCCCTCTCAAAATAGTTTTGTGTTTTAACAAGGTTTTATAAACAATTATCAAAAGTATAATTTTAGAAAATTATAATTGACCAACTGATACCAACTTTATATGTGTGATAGAGCCATTTCACACATACAATGGTAGACAGACAGACAGATTAGATAGATAGATAGATAGATAGATAGATAGATAGATAGATAGATAGATAGATAGATAGATAGATAGATAGATAGATAGATAGATAGATAGATAGATAGATAGATAGGAGAGTTGAATAGATACGATAGATTAGGTTGGTACTAAAATTTATCACTACAGAAAAACAGATCATAGACTTTCTTTAAATAGTTCCCTTACTTTTTTTTTTTTAAAACGATATCGAATTTTGCTGATCACTGGTGAATTTTTGTGAATGGAGCAGTTTGTGATTGAAGAATGACGTCATTAGTGTGACACACTCTTTATCATTTTCCAGAAGCCCGAGGACAATCTGATTGGTTGGATGAGGGAGCAGTGAGCTCTGGTTGGCTGTCGGAGAATCATTAAACACCCACACTGTCAATAGTGAGACCCACATGGTGGGTATATAGGCAGGTGTATTGTAGCTTAATGCAACAGACTCAAAATTTCATCAAGTTGAAATATCCCCTCTATTTTGGGACGACTCTTTTCTATACTCTCTCTATTGCACGAAGCTGAACATCTTACAAGGTAAGTAACAACTATTTATGGCTTGACACATAATAAATGTGCCATGCTTTTTATAAATCTCAATATACTGTACCATAGATGTGTGTAAATAGTAAAATAAAATGTTAGGGAGAGCTTAATGGTATATGCATTACTCTTTGGCTCTGTAGTTGCACAGAGAGGCACGCTGGATAGATATATATATTTTTTTCAAGGAGAATTGGACGGCTACTTAGACCTGGCTGTGGGTGCAGAGACAGCAGTTCATTACACTAATGCACATAGTCCTGCTGGAAGGGAAATCACGAGGCTAATATCTTTAATGCTGCAGTTATAGCATAGCGCCTGACAGTAGGAGATGTCTGCACCAACCACACAAGCTCTAATTCTTCTGCAGCAAACAGGAGAATGTGTGGATAACTTTCCAAATAATAGTTAAATTTGCTAATGAAACTTTAAAGAGGGTGCTTATTTTGAACTTTTTCCCTTGACCATGACATTTTTCCCCTCGTGATTTTCGGTCTGTTCTTAAACTATTTAATGATGACATGTTTCACTCCAGGGGACCATGGTTATGTTGAAGATCTCCGCTTTCCTTGTTGCCTACGCACTGATTATTTGTCAGATGTACAGCTCTAATGCAGCTCCTGCCAGGTAAGGTTCTATTAGAAACATATTGTCATGTTGATAAATGCTTAAAGGGCAGTGGTTTTTATTTGATAATTCCTCAAATTGGCTAAATATATTTACAAATGAAGTAGGTGCTTTGGTAAAGTCATCCGGACGAAGGCAAGGGAACATATGTTTTCATTAGAGGTTGCGGCATCATGGACTATCAGTCTTTAGATTACATCAGATGAATCCCGGCCAAACCCACTCTGCTTACGACAGTATTGATCGGGCGATAAATCTTAACTTGGCAACTGGACAGCTTTTAAGTGCCATACTCTTAGCAGATTGTTTTGATTATGTTTAGGATTTGATGTAGCAAGCAAAAAGTGCTTTTATCATACAAAAAAAAAAAATGAGAGGAGAGCTCACACAGACTATTTGTATAGTCCTGTAAGACATGATCATCACGAAGACATTGCGTTGCAGGCCTGCGCTGGAATCATCACCAGATCGAACTACGCTTACTGACTACGAAGCGAGAAGATTGCTTCACGCAATTGTCAAAGAATTCATGCAGATGACCGCAGAGGACATGGAACAACAAGCCACTGAGGAAAACAGGTACGAACCCCATTGTGTCTATTTCTCGAATCATTCCAAACGCAATCTGATGAATAATTTGGCGAGTGTGCACTGATTTGTTTCTCTCGCATTCAAGAAAGTAAGCCCGAAATGCCTCCAACATGAGAGCAATACCTCCTTAATGTCAAGCGTACTTGTACTTGTTGTAAATGACAGGTATGTGATGAATTTCTGTCAAGAAGTGGGGAAGGCTGTAGAGTTCTCTGCCAGTTTATTCTCTGCATGAAACTTTATTTACCGGTCAGATTTACGAGAGACTGACCGTGTGCAAATGCCTGTTTGCTCTTAATGCATGGAAACGAGGATATCAAACGGCATGGATGGAAGCATGATCTGAAAACATGTGAGAAAATGCCTGCATGATATGCTCAAGTAAAGACATGAAAAGTGCAGCAGAATTGAATTGTTTAAGCATGATTTGTTTTCTGAAACCATAACGACAGCCGTGCGAGGAAGCATGTCAACATGCATCCTGTCTATCCTGTATGTGAGCGTATCCTGCATGTCTAAGTGTCTATGAGTTTCTCTGCATGTGGTCTTTTCCCTCACAGCCTGGGTAGAGCCGTGTCCAAGCGCTGCTCCAGCCTCAGCACTTGCGTGCTGGGGAAACTGTCCCAGGAGCTGCACAAACTGCAGACATATCCACGCACCAATGTTGGAGCGGGTACACCGGGCAAGAAGCGCAGCCTGGAAGAGAGTGATGTGTTGGCTGGATACGGAGAGGCGCTCGACCGCGTCTAATCGGCAGCGGCTGTAAACCCGTGCTTGGCCCTGATATGCAAGTGCATGTGGAAGTTTGCTTGCCTGATTGACTTGAAAGAACATTTTTTTCTACTTTCTTTGGCAGAGTAACAAATCTCAGACAGACTCTGTTCCACTAATTTCATATAGTCACTGGATCTATTTGGGTTATATAACTGATTCATAAAATCGGGGCGCTCTCATTGGTAGACAGGGCGTAACGACAAGCTTTTTTTAACCCACAGCAAAATTCCTGTCTTGTGTGATTTGACTTTGTTCTTGATCTAATAAAGATATTTTTAGAAGGAGATCTTCTTTGCCGGTTGTTTATTTAAAGTTCAGAAACGAACGAGCATTCTTATGTATTATCAGGCTTAAGTACACATTTTAGGTAAGATATATTACCGCAGACATTTTTATGTTTTATTGTTAAATATATTCAGTGCATAAATAAAGTCTTTTAATACGTTGATATTTTTTTCCTCTAAATGAACATTTCAATTCCGTTTCTTTTTTTTTACCCCTCCAGTATTACGACACAGAAGAGAGCCTGTAACACGGCCACATGTGTGACCCATCGCCTGGCAGATTTCCTGAGCCGCTCGGGGGGAATCGGAAGCAGCAAATTTGTCCCCACTAATGTGGGCTCCCAGGCGTTCGGCAGACGAAGGAGGCTCAGTCAGGAGTAGTCAAATAAATGGGTCTTCGTGAAATGGTACGTGATTTGTGTTCTGAATCCTCTTGTGCCTTTTCAAGTGTTAAGTGTAGCGCAATCAAGATAATTCCACCATGACATTATAGGCGTGTCGTGTTTTATGTTCACAGAATATAATTATATTTTATGATTATGTGATCATACTGAAACACCACCACCAATAATAGATACAGTCCACCTTGAAAATCTGGGATTCATAATCTAATTTAAGCCTAAATAAACAAAAGCTTGTAGACGTTTGAAAAGTGTAAAACAATGAATTTTAAAATGTAATATATAATGCTGCTATTATAAAAAAGATTTGTATGCACCTTATTCTACTTAAAATCTTAATTTTTCATATGCTGATATTATAGCTATAGTATGAATATATCTTGCAGGTTGCATACAGAATGAACATAAATCTTTCCACAGGTCACCAATCTACACGTCCACAGTCCTTCTTTGATCGCTGTCAATAAAAGAGAAACCATCATGTCCTCATTATGAACCCTGGGAATGGAAACTCCTCACTTTCATCTGAATGGACTCCAGTTGATAGCACTGATCGTTTCCATCCAGCCAGACATCATAACTGCATATTTTGTTGGCTCTTCAACAAAGCATCATAAGTTTAAAAAAAGAATAAGAAACGACAAAGCCTTGATGATCAGTAGGCTAACCATCATTTTTCTACTCGTTTGGATCCGAGGAAGAGCATTGGTTCATTCTTTCCTCTCAGCAAGAGAGCACATTCAGTATGTACAGTCGGGTTTGGCCCTTGTTCCTTTAATGTGTCTCAGCACATTACGGTATTTTGGGGGATCATATTAAAGCAGTGCCTCATAAAAAGGCTTCCCTGATTATGGATGTGTCTTGTGCCTTGATGTAACACACTTTACATGCCGCTGTTGTACAGTATGTTTGAATTAAAGGAGGGAGGTACTACCACTGAATTACAAATTGTAACAATTGTGAATTTGAGCAAGATTAAAATGTATTTTAGATACATAAGGTTTGGGGTACTTGATTTATTGACTGACTGGTTGTTTCCGTAATTGGTCTGCATAGTCTTACCCATGCCCCTTTCATGTCACGCTCGATTTCGCATTTCTGAAACAACAAGAATTAAATGACAACCACATCAAGTTTCAGCATTGATTTGTCCAGTTGTTCTGAATGCCAGTTTAAAAGGTCATAATCCAATGGAGCACTGAAATAGGTCTTTACTGGAAGTGTCTATTTAAGAAATCCAATTTGTAAACCAACGTTAATCAAGCATAATTCATTTTAATTCATGAAAATATTTAACAGGAGACAAAAAAAAATCGAAATCTTATTTCTACATCTGAATAATAGTAGTATGGTGGTTTGTTCGAGTAAAAACAAAGCCTTTGCATCACTGCTTTGTGTTTTGTAGCCCCAGAGACATGCTTTATTTGTTTTTATTGGGTCCTCTGTGCAAATTACAGTGACAGCAGCCATTCTGTATAAACCCTTCTGGGAACCGTTTGTCATGATTCTGGGTTTTTTTTTGTGTGTGTTTAATTGTCATGCTGGTCTCCCAACAGTGACCACCCATGGGAACTTGTTTACAGTCAGATCAATTCCCTAAAATAGAGGTAGCACTTTATTTTACAGTCCTGTTCCCTATGTACTTATTATAGTAATTGCAATAACTGCTTAATAACAAGGCACTAACCCTAAACCTACCCCTAAACCTAACCGTAACCAATTTATTTAGCTTATATTACCCAGTACTCTCTTAGGTAAGTGCACATACTGTAAATGTGCAACAAAAATTGCCTTTTTTGGTGTCATTTACTAGAGGGAGTGCGGAGACCCGTTCTGCAGAATGAAATGATCCTCTTTATATTTACTGACACCATTGAGGTCCTCTGTTGTAAGTAGGAGTGACGTTTAAATAATATACACATCGTCTTTTCCTGCATCTATTTGAGCGATTGAAACCTTTAATATATTTAAAAATTTAAGCAATAACATTTTATGTGCTTCTGAATGAGAATAAAAGAGCACAATGTGAATGATTCATTTTCATTCATATAATCTCATAAATGGGGCTCGTTCTAATCACCAAAACCACTCATCCAAGGTTCCCATCACAGCCTTCTCAACAATCGTGACGGCAAGTGCTTTCTTGTGTCCTCACACAGTTCAAATGGATCCCATCCAGTTAGATGCTTTGTTAATTAACCTCTATGCCCTCATAGTAGTAGTGAGTCATTTCATATTGCAGTGCCTCGGCTGCCCAGCCCATTCCTCTCTGCTAATAAGTAGAGATTATAAGGCTCTTTTTGAGAGCCAGCCAGTCAATTAATCTTTATCTGCAAACTTTTACATTACATTACTCCTATCACCATACAAATTTCACTGTAATTACATCTGACATATTTCACAATGCAAATAGAAGGCGCAACAATTGCAAAACTTAAGAATTGTTTACCAAAAGCGCCTAGAATTAAATTAGATGTATTGCTTTAAGTAATGGTTTATTTTAAATAGCAATAAAAAAAAATAAAAAAAAACAGATGGATAGTTATTTTTGGTATAGTTTAAGTAAAAGAAAAAGAGCTCTGCAGTTATTTGCTAATTGAGCTGCATAATTGAGTACGGAAGTGCGATGATTTTGCCACAGTAAGACGTCATTTAGTAAATGGATTACAAGTCTCCGGTGCTGTACATTCAACTAAAAAAAATGGACTGATCTAAATGAAATACATCAACACATGGAGCTAAATAAAGCAGCTAATGCTTTAGCGTCTGTATGGCAGTCAGCCAGTCACTTCACCTATGACAAATACTGCTTAAACATGCTGGCTAAAATGCTAAGCAGTCTAAAATTGAAGGACTGCATTTCTTGAATGAAGTGGAAAAGAATCCAACACTATCAACTTGTAAGTTAATTACTATTTAATAGTATGTCAAAACAATTTGACATATTACTTGACCTCCTCAAATAACATGGTAAACATCAATATTTAATAGCATGAGGATCTTTTTATCATAATTAATGGGATTTGAAATTAACGGATTTGTGATCTCAATTAAAGGGGTGGTTGATTGCGATTTCACTTTTTTCATTTTAAATAGTGTGTAATGCTGCTGTTGGTGCATGAACAGTATCGCAAAGTTGCAGCGCTGAAAGTTCAGTGTAAGCAGAGATATCGTCTTTTAAAAATCAGGAAGTTTAATGCTTACAAAAACGACTCGAATGGGACTATAGTACAGCCGGGTTTTAGATGTCACTAACCCATACATTTGCATCAACCCCTCCCTCCGGAATATGCAAAAAAGGGCATGGCCATATTTCTGCGGCTCGTCGAAAGTGCGTTATTTTCACCCAGCTGTCAGGTCTTCTGTGTTCGGGCATCCCACGGACATTGTAGTTCGTCAACAATGGATACAAATTTATGCTTGATTATGTTCCTGAAAATGACGATCGTAATTTAGCTCTCATTTTACGAAAGACAGCTTCCAGAATCTCCACAAAGTCAATGGCGGATTCAATAAGAAACTGTTACTAAAACATGAAGCAGTTCCAACTTTAAAACCAGAGGCATCAGTTGTTGGGCCACAACCTGTAAGTAGGCTAAGACTTCGTCATTTCAGATGTAATGTTTTAGTTTTATCAAATACTAGTTATGCTATTTCATGTCTACGACAAATACATACAAACATTATGGACCTTAATTTTGTATATGTACTAATGTTGTAAATGTATTTTCATGTATATATACTTTATGGTGTTATTTTTCGATTTGATCAAGAACATAAACCAGTGCCAACGCTGTTTGTGTATATAGTAGCCAGTGAGTTTGATGCTATTTTGTGTAAGACAAACGTGTATAAAGTTTTAAAAAATATAGGCAAATCACCATTCAGAAACGTTTTGTAAGAGCCATGTGTGGTGAGGTTCTGCTTGCCTCTCTTCATCGCCGCTTTATTGGGTCTGATTCTGGCTCAAACTGATACTGCAGTATCTTAACTTAATCAGTAACTTCGCCCGTAAAGGTAATGGGCGTGAATTTTCTGAACAACGTGCACAACAGTTTAGCCAATCACAACACACCGGTCCAAACTAACCAATCTGAGCCCACTGCCTGTTTCTGAGGGAGTGGTTTCATAGACTCAGGAAGTCAACCGCTCGTTCAAATGACAGAAAAGAAAGCGGCTTACAATAAAGGTGAAATTTATGAAAAATAAGACTTTAAAAAAGAAAAAAACACGAATACATGTTATATTGCACCCCATAAACACAATCATGCAAAGAAAAAAAAGAGTAAACCACCCCTTTAAATAATTTTCATTAGAGAGAGCTGTGTTGGGCAGTTCTCTTTGTTGTCACTACTGGATGCGCTTTACTGTAAAAAGCAATTGCTTTGATTGAAGGCAAAGTGACGCACATCCGCTAATGAGATCAATGGCAGAATATAGAAAACATGATATTTACCAAGCCTCTCACCCTGAGTGGAACAAGAAAAGCCCAAAGAGAAAGAAAAAATCAATTCTTTCCACATCACTCTCTTGTGGACTCTGTTTATGGAAGATGAAATGGGCATTTTGGCCCCAAACCAGGCAAAGGATTGTTGTCTGCATTCTCATAGGAGATGCTATTCTACCTCGATCGAACAATACAAATTAATAGCATGTTTCAATATTTATAATCTGTCTCAGTGTAAACTATGCTTACCTGACATTTTCACACCTGCGCAATGACGATAAATGTTTGTTGCATGAAGAGAAAACACTTACTATTTATTTTTTCCATTAATTACTTAATTTATTATTGTTGTTATTTTTTATTATTTTTATTATTTTGATAAAGATATTTTTAATGATGAGTTGGACCAAATGGTGAATGCTTTTTTTTTTTTTTTGCTCTTTGCTAATTAAAAAAACGAAACGAGTAGTTTTTAGATCCCGAGCACAGACCGAAGGCAGCTGAATTTATTTATACTCGGTTACATGAGCCAATCTGCACAATATTTCTGGTTTCATTGCTTTCCCCTAAGTTACGCATGGTTGACACTGTCATGAAATCGTTGAACTGACACCCACTTTCCTCCTCTTCAATAACAGTTTGCATTCAATTATCAATAATCCGTGAAATTGAGGCTACATGGAGATGTACGAGGAAAATGTAGACCAAGATCATAATTTATTTGTGAGGGTGGAAAGCGTCTAATCAAAATCTTAATCTCTTATCAAAATTCCAATATTAATGATCTGTTCTTGCTGTAAAACCACTCAGTGATAAATCCTCTCAAAAACTGTGAGAAAATGTTCAGGGGAATTAGTAATTGTTAAATGTATGTGTGTGTAATGCCGTCTCTAAATTAGCACTGGGTGTGATGTTTGAGGTCAGGGCTCAAGGTGTGTTTTCATCTGTTGAAGAAGCCATTTTTTTTTTTGTTGAACTAGCTGCAGTTTTAATGGGCTCAAATTGGATTTCAAGTTGTGCTGTGGAACATTTAAGTGCCTGTTTGAGAACTTTAAATATGCTAAAATGAATTTTTATGATTTTTTTATGCAGCTCTGACCAACTATCTTCAATCTTTTTGCATTGCATCACTTGCATTGATTGGCCTGGTTTGTCAAGGTGTCACAGTCACCTCAGTTTGGACTTTGTTTTCATTTGCACCGTTTCTTCTTGTCTTGTTTTGTTTGTTGTCATGGTCACAGATTTGATTTCGTCATTCAGTTGTGTGTTTATCTTATCATACTTGTTTGCACTTTGCATGTGTATTTAAGTTCCCTTGTTTCTGTTCACTGTTGTTGAATGCTACTTTCAACCTGTGGATTTATTAAAGACTGCCTTGTAATATTCATCTTCGTGGTCGTGTGTTGTGACAGAAGAACCGATGTGATTACGCCATGCTAGTGACGCTACATTGAATGTTTCTCATGTTTTTTTTGTTTGTGCGTTTTTCCCTGTTTTTTTGGATTTACTTTTCTTTTCCACCAGGAACATTCCTGCTTTTGTTTATCAGCCTTGAGCAGGGAACTGGCTCCCACGAAGAACATGTATAGGATTTCTAGTTCCTAGCCCATCTCTTCCTACACGCCAGCCTGAAAACCACCACAAGAGAGCAGTTGTCCGAGGAGGGCCCTTGAGGGAGCTTCGCTGATTGCGTGGAGTTGGTGCTAATATCCTGTGGATCCTGTGCGCTAACTGTCGGACCTATGAATGAGACCAGCCCCACTCCTCACCCAGTGGTTAGTTCACCCAAAAATGAAAATTCTGTCAGTATTTACTCACACTCATGTTGTTCCAACCCCGTAAGACCTTCGTTCATCTTCGGAACACAAATTAAGATATTTAAGATATTGAGATCACTTCTGTATACTAGTCCATAGGGTTCTTGAGGGAATGACACTTGCTGGCATCGAAAAGTCATCAAAGACATCGTTAAAATAGTCCAAGTGACTACAGTGGCTCAATTTTAACTTTATCAAACGACGAGAACACTTTTTGTGCGCAAAAACAAACAAAAATAACGACTTTATTTCAACTATTCACTT